CCCATACATATCAAGGGCTAGTTTGCTTTTTCCCGTCTTCGTTCTTCCATATCGATACGGATTATCGTATTCGTCCTGTTATATTGATCTTTCTGCTTCTATTAGAAAGTATGAAAGCATCAGAATCATGCATCTGCTCGGCTTAATCTGACAGTCGCCCATCATAAGTATAGGTCTCAAAATCACTAAGATATGGCTAAACGCCAAGTTTGGCTGTGTCAGCTAGTGTTTCAAGCTCTGGTCATTTATAATTTCCTGCTATTGGTATATAGTGTTTCTCGGAAGATTCATATGAATTTGCCTTCTCGCAGATACCACTTACTGCTAACTGTTAGATCAAGCAAACGAACATGCGCATCACTTATTTTAAAATAGCCTCTTTCTGTCTGTTTCCGAGCATTGTTCACTTTACCGCTTTCTTCCTTCGTCATAGCGAATGTTCACATTTCGGTTTTCGTCAGTGACCACGTTTCATATCCGTGTGCTTTTGCTCTTTGCCGCTCTTTTACCAGTAAGAATTACAGTCCTTTCTCAGATCTTCTGTTCTGCGGCTATGTTTGTACTTCTGCGGTGTAATCTCTTGTCCTGTATGTCCTTGAGGATGGCAGATTTGGGTCGGTTTTTCAGCCCTAGCATATGGAGCCGTGCTAAGAGCATCTTAAGCATGTTATAAAAACCTGAATTTTATTGCCTCAGCAAATTCCGCTTTTACCTTTTTCGCCTCGAATTTGATCATTGCTGTTGCATAATTTATGATTAACTTTCAGGGCTGCATTGTGCTGTAACGCGGCTGTTTGGCTTCATAATCCTGTTTTGGTTGTGGAAGAAAGTACATTCACTGTTGAACAAGCATACTTTCGACAACCTCCCATATTTGTAACCACTGACCTCGTTTTTTTTTTGACTCAGCAAAGCAGCAGCTTTCAAAAAATACATTTAAATATCCTATTTTGAACGCCTTGTTTTCACGCTCTGCCTTTTGGCTATTATTCTTTAATATCAGCACCACTGAATTGCTGCCTACATTCTGATCATATTTGATTATCATTATTATATCATTCTTTATCGTTCTCATCACAAATTACTCGTTGGTACTCTGTGTATTACTGCAAAGAAACCTACTGGAGGGAACATATTGTGGGCAGTGGCTGTACTTCCTCACAGCGAAACAAAGGATGCAGTCAAAAGCGGCGAGACGACAAACCCCGACATATTTCAAGCCAGCGCCAAGTGAGATCCAGTACGGCAAAATGAGATTCCTGATCACAGATCGCCCATCCGACTTAACCATCAACACATTCATCGAGGTAAATGGGCACCGCTTTGCACCTTAGCTAAATAATTAAAGGAAAATAATATGCCTCTGGGAATTTTTAATAACTTTTTGAAGTAAAGCTATATAAGACTGATGCAAAAGCAGCTGCAATTTTTGCAGTATTGGAATTTGCTATGTGATACTGGAAAATTTTTTTTGTACTCAGTATGCTGATGTTTGAAAGAGAGAAATCTGAAAATTAAAAAAAAGGGCATATTTCTGGAGGAAACATTATTTATTTAACTTTCTTCACAGTGTTTATACCGATTTAGCGGTTGGGTAAGAAAGATTTCTTGCCCAGTTCTTTCATCAACTTTCTAAAATACTTTTAAGTTATTGGTGCAATAATCGATGATTTTTGAGAATTCAGGCATAACTGGGCTCATTATGTTTGATGTTCCAGGAACTAGGAAAGCATAACGCCCGAGCAGTGGTTAGGGTCTGTGAGCCAACTTATGCGAAAACACCGCTGATCTCGAACGGCATCGACGTACTGGACTGGGAATTCGACGACGGTAGTGCACCACCTCCTGAGGTTTGTTCCGTAATTTTTTCATGCCATAAAAGTGGAATCAATATGTTCTGCCTTGCGAATGCACCGAAATTGCTTTTTTTCCTCCGGCTTCTGAGTGACGTAGGACTTTTTAAGTGTTTTGGAAATTTTTAAAAAATGTAAACTATGAAAGTTTGTGTGGCACTGTAAGCCAGCCGATGAAGGGGCACAGTCGAATATTGTCAGTTGTGGAAAAGTAGTGAGCGCTAATTCAGATGCCCAGATAAGCGAGCCTGTATGTGCATTAGCTGTTGTCCTGTCTATGTTTCATCCCTAAACTATAAACACAGACGGCAGAGTCCTTAACCCGTATTTTCACCGTAGAAAATTTAACATGGCCTTTTTTTTAATATTTTGATTAGCAGCTGTTTTTTCGTTGCACAATGTCGGAACAGCATCAGTGAAAGCTGCTGACCACTGCACGGCGGCTGTGACCAGAACTGTATCACTTGATGGCTCGACTTGACCCTCATTCCCCGGCTTTTTTCTTCATGAGTGAAGTGCTGCTTCGCATTTCCTCCACTTCTCCTATTGATTTTTCGTTGGCCACTTTTGGGCATTGTTATCACTGATATGTGGATAGAAATTCGTCACGCTCATTTCTTGTTTGTAAAAACTTTGTACGTCGGGATGGGTGAGCGAATTGGATTAACACATATTTGTCATTTGATCACAGGATTAGCACTCCCAGTAATTCCAAACAAAGCAAAATAGGCATCCCTCAAGTAAAATTCAGATTCCAAATAAATTTCGTTCCATATATTTCAAATTTGGGGGCTTCATACCTATGCATTCCGAGACCGAAAGGACTGGCATAGCTACGTTCAGCGTGTAGAAGCATTCTAGTAATATCACTAAAGGGGGAATTCTACACCGATAGTCCTAGCGGTCTTGGTATTCTTGGTGTATTCCAAATTCTAGATAAATTTCAAGTAAGTCTCATTTTAAGTAACTTTTAAGTAAATCTCAAGAACTTCCACTATAACCTTAGGGTGCATTTAATGATGGAAAGTACAGTGACAAGGTGTTTCTCAGATGGTTTTTTACGTGTGGGCAAGGATCTTTTTAAAAAACAGCAAATCGGGATGGTAGATTTTGAAGAGCAAGCTTGCTAAATCATGGAAAATTCCACTGCTGATTTCGATAATGAAGTGTGGTTAAGCCTGTTCGTCAAAAGCTCATATTTCCTGATACGTAATCACGCCCCGCTTTTGTTTGGGCTGCATTGTACATATCGCTTGAAAGTTATTAAAACAAAACTGTCCTTGATTTCTTGAATGAGCTTTGTCTGTTAGTGCCGAGGGTAGGGACATGTAGCTTGGCAATGTAGTGTTTGCATGCATATGAGGCAGATTAAGACGAGGTTTTTTTTTTTTGCATAGGCCGTGGAAGATGGTAAAGATATTAATAATGATAGAGATTTGATGACAGAGATATTAATAATGATAGAGGTTTGATGATAAAGGTGTTAATAATGATAGAGGTGTGATGATAGAGATATTAATAATGGTAGAGATTTGATGATAGAGATATTAATAATGATAGATATATGTAAAATATTTAAATTGCATCAAAAAATTCGATGATCAGGAATGATTTTTGCAGTTGATCAATAAGTGGCTCTCGCTTGCAAAAGAAAGCTTCAAATTACATCCGGATCAGTGTATTGCCGTGCACTGTGTTGCTGGATTGGGCCGAGCCCCAGTGCTTGTAGCAATCGCTCTGATGGAAGCGGGAATGAAATACGAGGACGCTGTTGATCTCATTAGGCGGTGAGTCGCAACGTTTTTTTTTACCGAAATTTTTCCTCGCACATTTTTTTTGGCGAAAAATTTCGGACATTTTTTTTTTTTGGCGGACTCTGAAAGAGAAACTCCATATTTGATGATGAATGTAATTGATTTTTGTAGCAAAGAATGCAAGAACTAAATAAAAAGACTGTTTCATGGAATGCGGTGAAAAAAAAGGAGCAAAAAGACCGGTTATTTGCAGGCACCGACGTGGAGCACTGAACCAGAGGCAGCTGAATTTCTTGCAGAAATACAAAGCAACCGGGCAGCTGCGAAAGCTTCGGTACAACATCGAGGGGAAGCAGGACAGGTGCTCTGCGATGTGATCGTTTCTCTACTGATTTGTAATTTCTGCGAGTTCCTCTTATTCCGTCTTTGAAATCAGAACTGATATGACAACTGCGAATTGACTATTTTTTTTATCCATATTACTGAAGAAAAATGAAAACTGATTGCATCTGCCTTCTTTTTTGGGATTTTTTTTTCCCCCAGCGAAGCCTTCTCTCTTTGTTTGTGCACTGCTGATGATGCGTTAGATAACGATGGCATTGTTACTGAGTTTGCATCTGAATTTGATGGTAGTGGTGCTCCTGCTACATCCGTCGAGATTTGCACTTGTGCCACAATACTGAGTATTACTTCAGTTTGTTCACTATGTATTTTTATTGCAGTATTAAAATCACGTTCGAATTTGATGCTGCTTGTACAGATCGGCTTGTTCAACTTCCCCCCTAGCGTAGGCAATTTTCTGGCAGCTGAAATCATCTTCAGCTCTCATAAGTTTTTGGCAAAATTGAGCTCAGATCCTACCTGCCTCAGATTCGTTCGTGTGTTTTTTGGTCTTGTGTTTTGGTGCGATTAAAATGTTTTAACAAATTGCCATTATTGTTCTGCACTTACACATCAAACTCGAATTGAACGAAGACAAGTTTGCAACCTGAAATGCTGAGGCTTGTTTTTGTTGTTGAAGGTCATCACAGGGGTTGGTTTTCTTCGGATTTCGTTTTCCGTCGACAGTTTCCAAATCTCGACGTGTCATCCCACTGTTACATATTCTTGGCGTTCTCCCAGCGCTGCACATCCTCGATTTGCCTTCCATTGCTTTCATGTTGTCTTCCAACCCTTCGAAGTTTCTTACCGATAAGTCTCAACATCGACGTCTTTGGTACTATCCTTCTGA